CAGCGCCGTCGCGTTACCGCACAAGATTCTTTGATTCTTTTGTACTAAGCAGCATTTCTGCAGAGTCCAAACACCACCACTGAATTCTTTCCTGCATATACAGCAGATACACAAACATATTACATTCCTTTTTCAGTTTCTTTTCTTCTCTCGTTTTCTTTCTTTGGACTAACAAATTCTTTCCAAGAACGCCAACATTCCCCTTGTTTTTACTTCCACATTCATCTATCCATCCATTCATACACTACACCTCACTGAAGCTCAAGCTGTACCCACATATCAGAGAGAGATTAGAGAGTGAGTGTAATCAACAAAGCACAGGAGGAAGAAGAGCAGAGTTCAGAGGAGGAGTTACGTTGCACTGCTGCATCCGCTGGTGACGCCTGTCTTAGGGATGTTGGCAAGCTGCTCCTTGTCGTCTAGGCATCAGATGAGCATGGCGCAACGACTACCATGCGGCTTCTCCAAGCGGGGCGGCCGCCGTGACTCGACAGTCCCCAGCGCCGCCCCCCTGCGTGCCGGGCAGCGACGACCGGTGAGGCAACGACACTTGCTCCTTCTGGGCGCACCCAGCACCGCCGGTCACCCAGGCCGTGTCCTGGGGTGCCAAGCCGGAGCCCTCCGTCGTCGGCGACGGTGGCGGCAGGGCAGGGCCGTCAAGCGCCGTTGGCATCAATCCTCGTCGCCAGCGCCGCCGGCATCTGCCTCCCATCGCACACAACAGGGCCACCTCCCTCGTCCACGTCCTCGCTGACGCCTACGCAGCGCTCGCCGACTGCACCATCCTGGAGGGACCTCCCCTTCATGGGGCTCGTCCGCCTCGGCTGCGGCGAAGGGCGCGGTTGCGGGAGGCGAACGGCACGGGAGGAGGCGGAGGAGGTCGTGCAGGCGGTTTTTCTTTCTTTTTTACCGCGGGGCAGATTAGCGATCGATCAGTCGTGGCTTAATGCATGATTGGTAGCGTTAAACACAGAAGGATTAAGGGCCATTAGATTTTAATGATGGATGGATGTGATTTTTTGGATCTGCCCCTCTCTTCCTTTTTATAGTGGTAGTAGAAATATAACAAACTTATCTTGAAAAATGCGAAATTTTGACATGATACATGTAATGGTGTGCATTGAGTGTAGAAAAAAAAATCAAGTCAACCAACAAAGCAACGCTCGATAAAAATACAAACTTGACTCATCCCCTCTCGAAACCTAGTTTCTTCCTCGGAGATTGTCTGGTTTGTAAGCAATCTACATGACAATTTTTTTGAAACATTCTTAATTTTTGAACCATGATCTTCATGAGTCATATCATGACACCATGCCAAGTTTCATGATTTTTGAGTATTGTTAGATTTTTTTTAATTAAAATGCCGAAATTTGACATGATACATGTAATGATGTGTGTTAATAGCCGAAAAAAATTCAAGCCCAAATGTCAAATTACTCACTCTATGACTTTACCATTCTTACCACTTAGTGCATATAACAAAATAAATTGCCGTGAAAAAGTGGCAGGGATTCTTATACAATTGTACGAGTACATAGATATAGTATCAAATGAGACTTAGCAAGACTCTTATACTACAGTTGTATACGAGTACACACGATCACACCCGAGAAACTATCTTGACGAACTCGGCGAAGTTCTTCCTGCAGCCGCCGTCCGGCTGGAACGCCTTGCCCACCATGGCCTGCAGCTCCTGCGCCTTGGCCCTCATCCGCTCCCCATCCTCCCCGCGCAGCAGCGTCGCCACCGCGTTGGCCACGCCGCCGCGCGTCATCGGCCCGTCGAACGCCGTGCCGAAGCCCCACACGCTGGCCACCGACCGCGCGTTCATCGCCTGGTCGCCGAAGAAGGGGCGGCACGCCATGGGCACGCCGCTGGACACGCCCTCCAGCACCGACGCCCACCCGGCGTGCGTCACGAACGCGCCGACGGTGGCGTGCCGCAGCACGCCCACCTGCGGCGCCCACGGCACCACGAGGCCCGGCGCGCGCTCCAGGAACCCCGGCGGGAGCAGCGGCCACGACTCCTCGCGCAGCGACCACAGGAACGGCGCGCCGCTCGCCTCCAGCCCGGCCGCGAGCTCCTGCAGCTCCTCCGGCCGCGCCGAGGCGATCGTGCCGAAGCTGACGTACGCGACGGACCGCGCGGGCCGGCGGTCGAGCCAGGCGAGGCAGCCGTGCGGGTCGGCCGGCGCTTCGTTGGTGTCTGCTGCGGGCTCGGCGCTGGGGAGGAGGTGGTAGGGGCCGAGGGGCAGGCAGTTTGGGAGCTCGGCGGCGAGGGCGGCGGTGAGCTCGGGCGGGTCGAGGCCCGGGAAGGTGTTGAGAGCGACGGCCGTGGCCGCTTTAGGAACGCGCTGCGCCAGGCGGTGGAGCAGGAGGCTGATGACGTAGTTGAAGTCGCCGGAGATGACGCCGTCGGGGAGGTCCCGGACGCGGTAGCCGCCGAGGCCGGCGTGCGCGGTCAGCAGCTCGTCGGCTCGGCTCGCGGCTGCAGGTTAGGCACGCGACATAGAGATCAGAATACGACTCTCTAATTAATTAAACGTTTAAAACCCAAGAAAGAGATAAGGATAAGATTCTCTAGCTAAACTCCATGATAATCTCAACGGACACTCGAGCAAGAATGTACCCTGATCGCCGACGTCCTGGCGGAGCGCGTCGGTCCGGAGGTGCGCGAGGAGGGCGCAGGACGCGGCGGTCCAGACGGCCACCCACGGCGCGCCGGCAGCGGCGGCCGCCTCGGCGGCCATCCAGACGAACGCGTCCCCGACGACGCAGCTCACCCTGGCGCCGCCCGCGGCGGCGCGTGCCGCCTCCAGCCCGTCCCTGACCCCGCCAGCCTCGGCCGCGGCCATGAAGAGCTCCATTCGGCGCGGCGGCGGCAGCCACTTCGTCTCGCCCGGGGGCACCCCGTCCGGGACCTCGACGAAGCGCAGGTTCACCGGGAGCGCGCCGGCCTTGCCGAGCTGCGCGGCGTTGTCGGCGGTGGTGAGGAACGAGAGGCTCGTCCCGGGCGGCGCGGCGGCGGCGAGGGCGCGCGCGAAGGAGAAGAGCACGACCGCGTGGGAGCTGAAGGGGAAGGCCACCACGGCGATGTGCGGCGGCGGGAGCACCATCGCGGTGTCGGTCTTTCGGTGGAGTAGCGAATGCCGCGATGGGTTTTGCCTTGCCTTGCCTTGCCTCGTGCCGTTGCCGTGTCGCGTGGCGGGTTTTATGGGAGAATGGGAGGGACGGTGGCATCCAATGGCGCGGCGCGCGCGTGATGGATAGTAGGCGGGGGAGCGGCCGGCTTCCGGTGTGACGTTCAGGTGGGGGTGGGCGCGCGCGTGCGGTGCGTTGCGATGGATGGCTCGCGTGTGGCCACGTCGCGTGCGGCGCCGGTAGTTAAGCCTGGGCCGTGCGCTTGCCTGATTGGAAGGTGGCTGGCCCGTGCGCTTGAATCAACGCGTATTACTGTGTTACGAAAAAGGATTTCCCCGCTTTATAAAGCAATATCACCAAGCATCCAACACAAGAGTTTCAAGTATAATAAATCATAGAATTATGCTGGGGACACAGCAAGACAAGCCCCAAATTAGACTACTAGGAGATGCTAATCTGGCTTCGGAGGGGGCGGGCGAGGCGCCGTGGGAGGAGCAAAAGACGCAGCCGAGGCACGAAGACCCGTCATGATGTTGTCGATGATGCCTCGATCGCTCCGCTTACTAAGCGGCCTCCAGAGCTGCAAGAAGCCACACATTTTGTAGATCACATCAGTCACACGGGATGGAATCACTCGTTCGACGACTAATTTATTGCGGGTACACCAAAGGGACCAGACAAGGGTACCTAGCGCGACCCAAATAGGGGCGCGTCTAGTCCCGGGGAGCCGGAGGACCTCCCCGAACATATCCGGGAGGTTGTCATGGCACCATGTGCCCCCAACTACCTCCTGGAAGCAGATCCATAAGAACTGCGCTGCCAGGCACCGGAAGTGTTGGGGAACGTAGCAGAAATTCAAAATTTTCTACGCATCACCAAGATCAATCTATGGAGTAATCTAGCAACGAGGGGAAGGAGAGTGTATCTACATACCCTTGAAGATCGCTAAGCGGAAGCGTTCAACTGAACGGGGTTGATGGAGTCGTACTCGTCGTGATCCAAATCACCGATGATCCTAGTGCCGAACGGACGGCACCTCCGTGTTCAACACACGTACAGCCCGGTGACGTCTCCCATGCCTTGATCCAGCAAGGAGAGAGGGAGAGGTTGAGGAAGACTCCATCCAGCAACAGCACAACAGCGTGGTGGTGGTGGAGGAGCGTGGTGATCCAGCAGGGCTTCGCCAAGCACTACGAGAGACGAGGAGAAAGAGAGGTAGGGCTGCACCAATAGGGAGAGGAACTCGTGTGTATTGGGCAGCCCAAACCTCAACTATATATAGGGGGAGGGGAAGGGCTGCGCCCCCACCTAGGGTTCCCTCCCTAGGGGTGGCGGCAGCCCCCTAGTTCCCATCTAGGGGCGGCCAAGGGGAGGGGAGAGGGGGAGGCGCACCAGGGTGGGCCTCAGGGCCCATCTTCCCTAGGGTTTGCCCCCTTCCCCTCTTCCTTGCGCCTTGGGCCTTGGTGGGGGGTGCACCAGCCCACCTGGGGCTGGTCCCCTCCCACACTTGGCCCATGCAGCCCTCCGTGGCTTGTGGCCCCACTTGGTGGACCCCCGGGACCCTCCCGGTGGTCTCGGTACGTTACCGATAAAACCCGAAACTTTTTCGGTGACCAAAACAGGACTTCCCATATATAAATCTTTACCTCCGGACCAATCCGGAACTCCTCGTGACGTCCGGGATCTCATCCGGGACTCCGAACAACATTCGGTAACCACATACACACTTCCTTTATAACCCTAGCGTCATCGAACCTTAAGTGTGTAGACCCTACGGGTTCGGGAGACATGCAGACATGACCGAGATGACTCTCCGGTCAATAACCAACAGCGGGATCTGGATACCCATGTTGGCTCCCACATGTTCCACGATGATCTCATCAGATGAACCACGATGTCAAGGACTTAATCAATCCCGTATGCAATTCCCTTTGTCCATCGGTATGATACTTGCCCGAGATTCGATCGTCGGTATCCCGATACCTTGTTCAATCTCGTTACCGGCAAGTCCCTTTACTCGTTCCGTAACACATCATCCCGTGATCAACTCCTTGGTCACATTGTGCACATTATAATGATGTCCTACCGAGTGGGCCCAGAGATACCTCTCCGTTTACACGGAGTGACAAATCCCAGTCTTGATTCGTGCCAACCCAACAGACACTTTCGGAGATACCTGTAGTGTACCTTTATAGCCACCCAGTTACGTTGTGACGTTTGGCACACCCAAAGCACTCCTACGGTATCCGGGAGTTGCACAATCTCATGGTCTAAGGAAATGATACTTGACATTAGAAAAGCTTTAGCATACAAACTACATGATCTTGTGCTAGGCTTAGGATTGGGTCTTGTCCATCACATCATTCTCCTAATGATGTGATCCCGTTATCAACGACATCCAATGTCCATGGTCAGGAAACCGTAACCATCTATTAATCAACGAGCTAGTCAACTAGAGGCTTACTAGGGACATGGTGTTGTCTATGTATCCACACATGTATCTGAGTTTCCTATCAATACAATTCTAGCATGGATAATAAACGATTATCATGAATAAGGAAATATATAATAATCAATTTATTATTGCCTCTAGGGTATATTTCCAACAGTCTCCCACTTGCACTAGAGTCAATAATCCAGTTCACATCGATATGTGATTAACACTCAAGGTCACATCCCCATGTGACTAACACCCAAAGAGTTTACTAGAGTCAATAATCTAGTTCACATTACCATGTGATTAACACTCGATGAGTTCTGGGTTTGATCATGTTATGCTTGTGAGAGATGTTATAGTCAACGGGTCTAAATCTTTCAGATCCGTGTGTGCTTTACAAATCTCTATGTCATCTCCTAGATGCAACTACCACGTTCTATTTGGAGCTATTCCAAATAACTATTCTACTATACGAATCCAGTTTACTACTCAGAATAATCTGGATTAGTGTCAAAGTTTGCATCGGCGTAACCCTTTACGACGAACTCTTTTACCACCTCCATAATCGAGAAAATTCCTTAGTCCACTAGTTACTAAGGATAACTTTAACCGTTGTCCTGTGATCCATTCTTGGATCACTCTTGTACCCCTTGACTGACTCATGGCAAGGCACACTTCAGGTGCGGCACACAACATAGCATACTGTAGAGAGCCTATGACAAAAGCATAGGGGACGACCTTCGTCCTTCCTCTTTCATCTGCCGAGGTCGAGCTTTAAGTCTTAACTTCATACCTTACAACTCAGGCAAGAACTCCTTCTTTGACTGATCCATCTTGAACACCTTCAAGATCATGTCAAGGTATGTGCTCATTTGAAAGTACCATTAAGCGTTTTGATCTATCCTTATAGATCTTGATGCTCAATGTTCAAGTAGCTTAATCCAGACTTTCCATTGAAAAACACTTTTCAAATAACTCTGCATGCTTTTCAGAAATTCTACATCATTTCCGATCAACAATATGTTAACAACATATACTCATCGGAAATTCTATAGTGCTCCCACTCACTTCTTTGGAAATACAAGTTTCTCATAAACTTTGTATAAACCCAAAAATCTTTGATCATCATCAAAGCATACATTCCAACTCCGAGATGCTCACTCCAGTCCTTAGAAGGATTGCTGGAGCTTTGCATACTTATTAGCATCTTTCAGGATTGACAAAACCTTCCGGTTGTATCACATACAACCTTTCCTCAAGAAAATCGTTGAGGAAACAATGTTTTGACATCCTATCTGCAAGATTTCATAAATAATGCAGTAATCGCTAATATAAGTCCAACAGACTCTTAGCATCGCTACGAGTGAGAAAGTCTCATCGTAGTCAACTCCTTGAACTTGTCGAAAAACATCTTAACGACAAGTCGAGCTTTCTTAATGGTGATACTTACCATCATTGTCCGTCTTCCTTTTAAAATCCATATGTACCTAACAGCCTTACGACCATCAAGTAGTTCTTCCAAAGTCTACACTTTGTTTTCATATATGGATCCTCTCTCGGATTATATGGCCTCGAGCCATTTTGGAATCCAGGCCCACCATCTCTTCTCCATAGCTCGTAGGTTCATTGTTGTCTAGCAACATGACTTCCAAGACAGGATTACGTACCACTCTGAAGTAGTACGCATCCTTGTCATCCCACGAGGTTTGGTAGTGACTTGATCTGAAGTTTCATGATCACTATCATAAGCTTCCACTTCAATTGGTGTAGGTGCCACAGGAACAACTCCCTGTGCCCTGTCACACACTAGTTGAAGAGACGGTTCAATAACCTCATCAAGTCTCCACCATCCTCCCACTCAATTCTTTCGAGAGAAACCTTTCCTCGAGAAAGGACCCGATTCCAAAAACAATCCCTATTGCTTTCGGATCTGAGACAGGAGGTATACCCAACTGTTCTGGGTGTCCTATGAAGATGCATTTATCCGCTTTGGGTTCGAGCTTATCAGCCTGAAACTTTTTTCACATAAGCGTCGCAGCCCCAAACTTTTAAGAAATGACAGCTTAGGTTTCTCTAAACCATAGTTCATATGGTGTCATCTCATCGGAATTACGTGGTGCCCCTTTTAATGTGAATGTGATTGTCTCTAATGCCTAACCCATAAACTATCATGGTAATTCGATAAGAGACATCATGGTATGCATCATATCCAATAGGGTGCAGTTATGATGTTCGGACACACCATCACACTATGGTGTTCCAGGCTGTATTAGTTGTGAAACAATTTCCACAATGTCTTAATTCTGTGCCAAACTCGTAATTCAGATATTCATCTCTATGATCATATCATAGATATTTTATCCTCTTGTCACGACGATCTTTCAACTTCACCCTAAAATTACTTGAACCTTTCAATAATTCAGACTCATGTTTCATCAAGTAAATATACTCAGTGTCTACTCAAATCATCTGTGAAGTAAGAATATAACAATATCCACTACATGCCTCAACACTCATTGGACTGCGCACATCAAGATG